TCCTTTCAACCTTATCAGTCCTCTTAATCAGAATAAAGCAAAATCTAAGAAACTTATACGTAGCAGAATAGGCCGAAAGATTGAATTTAACAAGAACGACCTATTGTTATTAATGTGCTAATCAGGGAGCTATTGACTTAATTAGAGTTTAGGTATCAGATGCATCGATGTGTAAAATCGATGGAAGAAAGCGCACCTAACCACCAAACGTTTTTAAAGTTGCATTTTGTTAAGAATTCTTTTATTTTACCGTACAAGGAAAAGAGAAGGAACACCTCTTACTCCTGGAGTGTAGTTGTTTGTGTAACAACGTGATTATTTCGAAGTATTCAGTATATTCTGCTCGCTGAAGCAAAATGCATGGAATACATCCTGCTCATTCTCGGAATTAGGACTAGTGTTTCGATTGAGAGAATAGTCGGGGTTATAAAAATGAACGCACCCTAAGATTCTACTCGCTTCTACAATATATCAAGGTCGCCCAGGACCGTTGCTTTTCAATAAATTTATTAGCAACGTGTCCTGAGAAGGTACTATGTTAAAAAACTTTCATTCTCCGAATTTTGAAGATGAGTTCCACTAAAAATTATTAGTGATATTTTGGGATGATGGAATTACATTACGAGCACGAACCGCAAAACTGAAAACTCTAAATAAATGTCATTCAAAGAATTATTTCCAAACANGCGCACCTAACCACCAAACGTTTTTTTAGTTGCATTTTGTTAAGAATTCTTTTATTTTACCGTACAAGGAAAAGAGAAGGAACACCTCTTACTCCTGGAGTGTAGTTGTTTGTGTATCAACGTGTTCAGTTTATTCTGCCCGCTGAAGTAAAATGCATGGAACACATCCTGTTCATTCTTGGAATTGGAACTAGTAGTTAAATTGAAAGAATAGTCGGGGTTATAAAATTCTACTCGCTTCTACAATATATCAAGGTCGCCCAGGACCCTTGCTTTTCAGTAAATTTATTAGCAACATTTCCTGAGAAGGTAACATGTTATAAAACTTTCATTCTCCGAATTTTGAAGATCAGTTCCATCAACAATTATTGATGATATTTTGGGATGATGGAATTACATTATGAGCACGCATCGCAAAACTGAAAACTCTAAATAAATGTCATTCAAAGAATTATTTCCAAAGATTTATAATAAACTTCAAGGTTTGGCGAAATCGAGTGCAGCCTCTTGTCATTTCAAATCTGCAGCTGTGTATGTGCGCTCATTAGTTTACTCTTAGGAGACTCCTACCTGTAAACTTAAGCAAATGCTGCAATGTGATTGGATGAGCTATCAGCCATTAGTGTCGAAAGGCTGGAGGTCGTCTACAAAATGACAACGTTTTGTCGTTCTTTTCTGAAGAGTCGGAAGACGATTTAGAACGATTGTTGCAGATAATTCAATTCCCGAGAAGACTGAAAGAACGACATATACTGTAACTCGACAAAACCGATAAGCGCGAATGCACAGCTGTCAGTTTCAAATGATAATTCAATCCACGTAAATTCGCTAAAGCTTAAAGTTAAGTTTGGGAAAAAAAAGTTGGAAATTGTTATTTGAAGGAAATTTATTGGGAATTCTACTAGGACAATAAGATTTTTTGCCCTTGATATCTATGAAGTGGTAGCTGTGCTGAGAGGCTGAATTTGAGTTTCTTAATTTTTGTTTTAGTTCCCCTAGAGTCGATCTTGTGATTATTGGCGGCTCAAGGTTAGCCCACACATATCTTTCCTTGTACTTACTATTGTTGTTTGTTTTTCCTACTTAAACTACGGGGGTAGACATGGTAGACGAAACTGCCTTCGGCTACTTACCAGGCCTTTCAAAAAATCGCGAACCCCGAAGTTCCAAACTTAACTAATGATTGCACTTCTCGCTGCCGTCAATCGTAATTACGACGACATCAATCAAACCTTAAAAAACAACACCAAAATGGATCGAAATTTACCAAACGTTTCGAAACGTGAATTCGTTATCTGAAAGGGGCTTAGGATGATAGCGAAGAACGCAACTGCTTTTTGAGTTCGTGTGCGTGTTATTGAACGCACACTAAAACATGAGGGGAAAACGATTCCTTTGACGCTGATAAAAAGGCCGATAATAATGGTAATTTTTTCTTAATGTAATACAAGGAAATATCTCTACCGTTCAAAATTGAGGGCTTACTTTCTTCCGTAGTTTTAGTCTCTCTTTTAGTCTTTGTACGGGGGTAGGTTTCTTCGGGAGGTTGAATCTGAGTTTCGCCTCTAGCAAGGTTCGTTCTTTCAGTTGAAGCCTGGGTCTGAGTTTTTGCCACAGACGGAATCTTGCTCACGCCAGTAGCTCCAGTTTCTGTAGCTTCCCCAGTCCCTGTCCTAGGTTTCTCAGCCTGATCTGGAATCTGAGCCTCTGCATTAACTTGGGCCTCTGTGCCTTCCACAGTCAAAGTACGAGTTTCGTTCGTAGATGGAATGCGAGTATTCCCTGAAACGAAGGTTTCACTTTCGTCAACCATCTGACCCAGGTATTCCTCAGCAGGTTGAATCTGTAGTTCCGCTAAAGTCAGAGTTCCACGTTTGACAGCAATCTGGGTATGAGTTTCCGCAGAAGTTTGAGTCGAAGTTTCTCCAGTGGCCTTTATGGGTGAACTAGCATTGCTGTCTAACAAATTAGCGAAAGAAAGAAGCAATGTTATTTGTACGTTTGAAGAAATACCACAGATATACCTGAGCGACATAAAAATTCTGTAAATACCGGGTCTGTGGCCTGTAATTACTGAAATTGTTTATTTTTTGTTGTGGGTGCTACTGGTTGGTCGTCATTATAAAACGGTACATTACACTGTTGACCTCTTTAGTTCTCAATATAAGATGATTGTCTAAAAATTTAACTATAAAACGCTGCGATAACATGGAAAAACTTAAAACCATTTTGGTTTAAAATCAAAGACGACGTTTCGATTTTCGCTTAACGTCATTATCAAGTCAACTGAGTGAATAAAATGGGTACAAATTTAAATATAACAAAGAATTCCTAAGAGACCCGAATGCAAAGAAAACAATGATAAAAAATTCTAAAAAAAGAACGCTAAAAATATATATTTACGATTAGATTATTCGCTCTCGATTTCTATGAGGTGATAGTTGATGAGGCCTCAGGCCGAATCAACTATCACCTCATAGAAATCGAGAGCGAATAATCTAATTGTTTTAGTAGAATTCTAACTGAAATAAGCGCAAATAACGGTTTCTAATAATCTTTTTACGCATTATTGAACTTTACGCTTTAACAAAATCGCACGCATTGAGTTGTCCTTGGTAAATTTGCAGTTGTTTACGCGCGCGCACCCGTTTTTCAATAATTTCAAGTTGTTAAAGTCAAGAAACCGCTAATGTCCTTCTTTTAGTCTTCTCAGGAACTTAATTATCCATTTACATCTAAACTTTCCTCCAAAACCTCGGAAAAATGATAAAAACTTCGCATTTTGTGGACGGTCGACAGCCACTGCACTCTAATGGCTGCTAGTATAGGAGTAGCTCAGCCAATCAGATTGCAGCATTTGCATTAGTATACTAGTAGAATTCTGCTAATCTAATTCAGTAGAATTCTACTAGTATACTAAGGCAAATGCTGCAATCTGATTGGCTAAGCTACTCGTATACTGTTAGCCATTAAAATGCAGTAGCTGTCGGTCGTCCACGAAATGCGACGTTTTTATCGTATTTCCGAAGTTCTGGAAGGAAGTTTAAATGTAAATGAATGATTTAATTCTTGAGGAAACTAAAAGAGGGACATAAACGCATTCTTGACTTAAAAAACTTGAAATTATTGAAAAACCGGCGCGCGCGCGTAAACAACTGCAAATTTACAAAGGACAATTCAATACGTGCGATTTTGTTAAAGCGTAAAGTTCAATAATGCGTCGGAAAATATTTGGAAACCATTATTTGCGTTAATTTAAGTTAGAGTTCTACTAAAACAATTAGATTATTCGCTCTCGATTCTTATGAGGCGATAGTTGATTTGGCCTCCGGCCTCATCAACTAGCTATCACCTCATAGAAATCTCGAGCTCATAGTCTAATTGTTAAATAGTTACTATTAGAATAAATTACGATAAGCACTTTCTTGCGTTGTAGATTACAATCCACCGTAGGAAAAAAGATGGCGGCTGCACATTTTACCACAATACCTTGCGAACCTAACACAGCCTATATGGCACGAAGAAAGCCAAATTTT